CACAACCAGTGTTTCGTAAAGGGCTTGAAACCAGCTTTCTCATCCCATGGTGAAAAACTAGGGGTTCCATTTAAAAAAACCATCGTGACCCCTGAATGACCTTCAAAATGACCTTCCAAGGATTTTTCAAGGTCAGTACCATACTTCCCCCGTGTAACCCTAAACTTTTCATACGAAACATTTTTCTCTATCCCTACTAGTTTTCGAGATATTTGACTGGATCACTTCAGATGGTCCACCCTGTATATATATACATATATGAGCCCCTTAATTGATAAGTGGCATAAGTTCAAAATTAGGAAAAATGCGTTTGTTATAGAAGTAGAAAATATCAAGAATGTTTGTTTTATCTATTAATTTAATTTACTTTTATTTTGTTTTTATGTTCATAAAAAATGAAAATCAATTTTACATCATAAATAAAGTGACCGTAAAAAAAGCTGGACTTAAGTCACTATTCCAGCTTTTTTCGTAGTCACTTTATTTATGATGTAAAATTAATTTTTATATTTTATGGATATAAAAACAAAATAAATGTAAATTAAATTGACAAATAAAACAAACATTCTTAATACTTTCTACTTCTACGATAAACGCATTTTTCCTCATTTTGGACTTATGCCATTTGTCAACTAAGGGGCTCATATATACACTTGAAATGTTTTAAAAAAAACTATATTACTTATTTTTAATATGCTATTTATTACAAGGTAAGATATAAAAATTATGACGAAGTATAAAAATTACATATGAGAATTACGTATAAAAATAAAACATAAATCTAATCATAAGTTACGTCTTACGAGAATAAGTTATAGCCTTACGATTCTGCTTAAAATTGATCTATAAGGAAATTTGTATAAAACAAGAGTTGGTCTCGTCACATGCTCCTATCACAGTTCTTATTCACTTCAACAAGAGCGTTGGAATGAATAGGAGCTATAGTGGGAGCATGTTGGAACATGCGATGCGAACAAATAATTATGCTAGTGGTATCCATAAAATTTCTGATATTATCTGCTTTCGCTTAGACTTTTCCGGTTCGGGTATTCTTTCTAATTCTGCTGCAACTAGCAGTCCAAAAGTTTTGTCAGGTGTTAAGTCACCCAAGTTCCAAGCCATTTGTTGAGATGACTGATTATCAGTTATGCGTTTTTGTAGACTATCACTTAGAGCTACAAGTGATTGTTCTAAGTAGGAGTTACTTTTATTTATTTTGTTTGAGTGACCAGTATTAATTGAACGACTTATATTAATTGGTGTTGTTGGTACTGCAGGAGACGGTGTAGAATCTCTTGATACTGAATCTCTCGATACTGAATCTCTCGATACTGAATCTCTCGATACTGAATCTCTCGATACTGAATCTCTCGATACTGAATCTCTCGGTACTGAATCTCTCGGTATTGAATCTCTCGGTACTATATCTCTCGGTACTGAATCTCTTGATTCGGAATCTCTCGATACTGAATCTCTCGGTACTGAATCTCTCGATATTGAATCTCTCGGTACTATATCTCTCGGTACTGAATCTCTTGGTACTGAATCTCTCGGTACTGAATCTCTCGATATTAAATCTCTTATTTCATTCGTGCAAGAAAAATTATATGTTTCACCTTGAGGTGATGATGAAAACAGTCTGTTACGTTGCATTACATTTTCAGTTTGTGTATTATTTTTCTGAATATTTGGCTAAAAAGAAATAAAGTTATTAATCGAGGTTTTCTATGATTATGTTAGTATGTTATGAGATTAAAGATGTGATAAATTTTCATTATAGTGTTCAATACTAATTTTGTCTTTGGCTCGTAAAGTTTTAGATAATATAGACGAAAATTGAAAATATTAAATTCTTTTAAACACAATGTCGTTCAAATATGATCAAAATCATCACTCTGTTATCCCATTTAATTCATGTTATCCTATTTTTATCGAAAATATGATGTGATAGAATTTTTCTAAGCGCGAATTCAATTTCAGCAATCGAAAATCTTCGAAAAATAACACTCTACAAGTCAAAGAAAAAAAGTTAAATTTTGTTAAATAATGTTATTAAAAGTGTTTAGTACTTCGTAATGAGATTGGATAAAGTAAAACTAGATAAATTTGAAAAAGAGTTATTTGTCTCAATGTTTGAAAGTGCTTGACATGATGTTGAAATATTACTCGTGCTTATATTGATGTCACAAGAAGACATATGTTTTTTTACAGCTGGACTAGGCACATTTGTATACGATCTAGAAAATGATAATAATTAGTATTGTGTATTATTTGTTACATTATACATAACTATTTATTAATTATTAATTAATTATTATATTTTATATTACTTCTTAATAACATTTATATATTACTTATCATATATTTGATATCAATTAAACTTACTTTCTCCGTTTTACATGGTGTTCCAAAAATAACATGTTGTTATACAATGAAAATCCTGATCTGTGAGAGGCTCCACTACCACTCCGTGTTTCTGTCTCACGTGATCGTTTCTCCCTTGAAAATCGATCGCGTAACCGTACCCATCGATTTTGACAAGCTTCAACTTCATGAACAAACATATTACATATAAACATATTAAAAAAAGAAACATGAAAAATAAGGTTCCACAGAAAGTAAATCACAAAGTACTGTTGCCAAACAAAGCCATTAGATGTTTGAATACAATTCTTCATTGAATAACATTAGATGTTTTGATCCTTCGCTTTGGGTTATCTTGAATAAATACAAAAAAAGAAATTATGACCGACATTATCATATGGAAATTTTAGTACATATTGCAATCATATGAAATATATTAAATGTCAAATATATTGAAATAAAGTAAGTTACATTGAGATATGTAAGATGTAAGTAACATTGATGTATTGATTTTTTTGAAAAATGGACTGATAGTGAAATCTCGCCAATTATCATTTTGAGGTGAACTGTTCAACAAGTTAGAACGTTGAACAGTTTACACCAAAATGAGACTGCGAATTCTATTTTAATAGTTTGTTTGATTTTTATAAAAGATATTGACTTAATTTGACTAATAATGACGAGATTCCACTACCAGCCCATTTTCCAAGAAATATATCAATGCTAATTCATATCTTACGTATCTCAATATAAAATGACTTGCTTTATTTTAGTGTACTTCACTATAACATTCACTAAAATATGATAATTTTGATCTTGATTTCGTTTTTGTATTCACATAAACACCTGGTGTTGGTTCTGATTGGCAAATATACTTTGTCATAAATACATTTACATTATCATGTTCATATAAAAAGTTTCAAAATCAGAATCTTACTTGACAAATTCAATATTCCAGAAATTTCCTTCCATGAGTTTTGTTTCATTTCTGTGTCCTTAAATTCTTTCAGAGACGAATTATATAAGTGCGGATAACTTCTCACTGCATCAATCAGCAATTCATCACTTCCTTTTTCAACATTTCCCACTTCACTTTCACATTCTTCAATATTTTCAGTATATTCATTTTCATCATTATATCTATCATAGTTAGTACAATATTCTGTATTAAAATTCATCTTAGCATTTCGATTTGATAATCACACTTCATTACAATTTATCTTAACCTTATCTGCGTACATAGGTGTACGTACCAGGTGTAGAAGTATGAAACCGAAATTTTTTTGTAAAAATTACACGTCCGTTGTTTGAAAATGATAAATAATATTTTATTCAAAATAATCTCCATTGCTATTTATACATTTTTCCCACCTCTCCGGCAGTTTATGAATGCCACGCCAAAAAAACAGTTCTTTTTTTGACGCGAACCAGTTATCGAGCCATTTTCGTACATTTTCATACGTATTGAAGTGTTGTTCAGCGAGAGCGTGTCCCAGTGATGCGAATAGATGATAATCGGACGGAGCCAAGTCTGGAGAATAAGCCGCATGCGCTAATATTTCCCAACTGAACGACTCGATCGTTTCCCTGACTCGTTTTGCTGTGTGTGATGGAGCATTATCATGAAGCAAAATGACTTTGTGTTGCCTTTTACCATATTCCAGTCGTTTTTCACATAATGCTCTATTTAAATCGATCATTTGCTGTTGGTAGCGATTAGTGTTAACGATTTCACCAGGTTTTAGCAGCTCATAATAAATTACACCCTTCTGATCCCACCAAACACAGAGTCTTCTTTCCAAAGCGATTTGGTCTTGCCGTGGATGTTGATGGTTCGCCTGGATTCATTCATGATTTCCAACGCTTAGGATTCTCAAAATATATCCATTTTTCATCACCTGTCACGATTCGATGGAGAAATGACTTTCTTTTGTATCTGTCGAGCAGCAGTTCACAAACGGTTTTTCGATTTTCTTGCTGTCTTTCATTCAGTTCATGCGGAACCCATTTTCCCACTTTCTGAATTTTTCCCATAGTTTTCAAACGAATGGAGATGGCTTTCTGCGTCACATTCAATTGATCCGCCAGTTCTTGTTGAGTTTGAATATCATCTTCATCCAACAAGGCTTGCAATTCGTTGTCTGCAAACTTTTTCGGTGGTTTCCCACGCTCTTCGTTTCTCACGTCAAAATTACCACTTAAATTTTTTGAACCACTCGAAACACTGTGTTTTACCAAGAGCATGTTCACCATAAGCTTCGACAAGCATTCGATGCGATTCTGCAGCAGTTTTCTTCAAATGATAACAGAAAACCAATGCTGTCCGCAAATCGTAGTTCGTAGGCACAAAACTCGACATGTTTAAGGTTATGAAAAAATATACCGGTGTATGGAACTTGGGTTGTTGTGTGTTGGAAATCTTCGTCAGCTGTTAGAAAGAGATGATGGCGCTGCAGATGCGGCCTTGGAGTCCCTAAACTGATAGCTAGTGCCATATATAGGGAAATTCCGGTTTCATACTTCTACACCTGATATGTACACACGATCAAAAAATCGCCCTGTGATTGGTTAAACTAAAATTAAAAATAATGAAAATATTAAGTGTTTAAAGAATGTCAAATTTATTTTATTTGTAAGCATTCAAATTAATAATTGCTTTAATAATAATAGCTTCTCACCACCTTCACGTTGATTATTCCCGGATTCGGCAGAGAGTGAGAATGTCTTGTTGTTTTCATTTAAACAAAAATCAAATCCACCATATTGGTTCCACCATATTGAATTCTCAAAAACTGGGAGCGGATTTGTATTCCGCAACTTCGAAAATCACCGTATACTCCATTCTGTAAAATACGTGTTAGATATTTTTCAATGTACTGCATGTATGCAGAGTCTCAAGGCAAAGCACATAAAAAAACTTAAGGCGTAAAGGCTATCGCACATGAAATGCATAACAAAGCATAAGCATAACATAAGACTGCTGGACCAATGAGCATCTAGCATAATGTCGCCATATTAATTTACATAAGATGCTCATTGGTCCAGCAGTCTTATGTTATGCTTATGCTCTGTTATGCATTTCATGTGTGATAGCCTTTATCGGCTTCTACCCTGTCCGAATCGTAGATCCTATCTATAGTCCAAATAATATCTTTCTAAAGCGATGTCTACAATGAGATTTGAAGACATTAAAAATTAAGCCGTAAGAAATTAGCAAATTATAATGAATTGTTGTCCTGACTATTCTTACGCCTTTTATCGTAAATGAAATTTTATGGTATATGAAATCGCTGGTTAATTTATTGAAACATTAAAGAAATCTGATTATAAAAAAGTATAAAATTAAATTATATATATATGTAATTTATAAATGTATATACATTTCCATGTATATGTGTATGTATATGTGTGTGTCATGTGTGTATGTATATTTACATATAAAGGGGGGGAATACAAATTTATAATTACAGAAAATGATGAACTTTACTTTAATACGATAAAAAGTTTATAATGTATCTACGCATTTTTATATTTTTTAAGTTTCTTTTACTAGATCATACTGTAATTATACTCAATCTATGGTCTAGAAAGAAAAAAAGAAAATATATATAAACATTAAAAAATTGTTTGTTGTAAAATATAAAATCTATACGCAGTTTATAAAATCGATAATATAGGATTTAAACATGCCAATGTATAGATAAATATCACATTTGGTTTGCAACGCATGACATAAACATTTGATTATAATATTATATATATATATATATATGTTACAATATAAACAGATCATGCAAATAAATATAATAGATAAATATCAATGCTGTATATACTTATATATACTATAGGTGCGTTCCGTATCTTGCATGATGCGCATGATGCATACATTGTCCTTGTTTAACATTTGGTGAGTAACAAGGATAAACGATGCATTATGCACATCATGCGAGAAACGGAACGCACTTTATATAATGGCTGCTTTCCATTTGATGACACAAATCGACGCAAGTCGACACAAATGTCGTTCTATCCTTCTTGATATTCAGAGAGTGACAAAGATAGAACGACACTTGTGTCGATTTGTGTCGACTATGTCTCCTAAAAGGAAAGCAGCCAATATGTACTTATCTATATATACGCTCCATATATCTGCTTACAATTGTACTTGTATTTTTTATCTTTTATCTCTCTCTTACCAGATGTTATTTCGATTATTCGGATCATCTTAGTAATCCAGAAAGAAAGGAGAAAGAGAAAGCATATAGAACATGACTGTTCAGCTTTTAATGTTTTTGTTAAAATTAATCAAAGCTCTCACATTTTATTTATATATGTATACGTATGTATATATCAGTTATTGTTCATATTTTCCTCATCCGTTTATTTGATAACTCGCGCCACCAGTCGACACAGTAATGTACCGACAGGTCTGCTCTGTCTACACTTTCATGTCTGTACGCGCACGATTACAGCGCCGCTGCCCTGCAGCGCTAACGTTTTATTTTTCACTACTGGTTGTTGCACCTTTTTAACGGAAGCACATCTCAACGTGTCTTCCATATATTTACAATAAAGTGTTACAAGGAGAAGGTGTTCTTATAATTTTCATTCAGCTGAACCACACAGAACCTCAACAGGTTATGGGCCCAGGGGACGCGATCAGTGAACGAAAGTGATTACACAGTAGACACGGAAAAAGGTCACTCATACGGTTCGAGACGCAAGGCGCTGCACCGCCATTGTTTCACCTCGGGACGCTGCATACGTCGTCGAAGGATCTTCTCTTCCGTAAACACCGAATTTCCGTGAGAAGAACATACGTCACGATGACGGACATAATTGACTTAAAGAACGTGACGAAATTTGACGGAACAAATTTTCAGCTATGGAAATTCCAAATAAGGACCATTTTAACGGTAAGCGGTTTAATGGACATTGTAGACGGAAAACTTCCAAAACCTGAAGCAGTAGCAGAGAGTCACGTTACATGGAACGCCAAAAATGCCAAAGCAATGTGTATATTATCATCCGCAGTCGAATACTCACAGCTCGAATACTTAATTACATGTGAAACTGCATTCGACATGTGGACAAAATTAAGTTCCATTCACGAGCATAAAAGTGCTGCCAACAAACTGACTTTGATGACAAAGTTTCATGGACACAAGATGGGATCGAGCGATTCGGTTGCGCAACACATTGCCAAGATCGAAAATATGGCCAGGTAATTAAGAGACGTCGGCGAGGAGCTGTCAGACGTCATGGTCATGGCAAAGATCGTCGGAACTCTACCGTCAAAGTTTAACTCGCTCATCACCACTTGGGATAGCGTTAGCGAAGGCGACCGAACGAAGGATAACCTCATTCAGCGCCTCAGCACAGAAGAAAATCGCTTGACCAACTCCGAGGCGACATCGGACGCATTGGCTGCAGTGAAAAACTACAAGAAGGCTGGCGCTGTGAACAATGCAAATAGCTCAGAGACACAAGGAACGAAGCCCGTGAACCGCGATAAAGGGACAATCAGCTGCCATTATTGTCACAAGAGAGGTCACATCGAGAAGCGATGTTACAAGAAGCGTGACGACATCCGAAACAAGAAAGAAGCCAACAACTCGACGAAGGAAGACGAGTCGGTGAACTTCGGTGCTTTTATGGTATCCAAATGTGAGTCTGCGTCGCGCATACTGGCAGATAACTAAGAAGAGGTATGGATTTTGGACAGTGGTGCTTCAAACCACATGTGCTTTCGTCGCGAATGGTTCAAAAATTTTGACGAAAATTACCGCGAATTTGTAAGTCTCGGAGACAATTCAACATGCGAGGTAAAAGGACGCGGCACAGTCTATATACAAATGTTAATAGGCGATAAATGGCTTAACGGTCGATTGGATGATCTATTATTTATACCGTCTTTACGTAAGAATCTTTTCTCAACCGGTGTCTGCACTTCGGAAGGTTATGCCTCAAAATTTGAATCCAATAATGTAAAAATCTACCGTAATAACTCAGTTATGGCTTGCGGAATCAAACAGAATAACAATTTGTTTCGACTATTAATTAAAGTCAGCGAAGTCGATGAAGCAAATGCAGCTTCAATCAATAGCTTAAAGACATGGCACGAACTTCTAGGGCACATAAATTGCCGATCTCTTCGCGAAATAGTAAGTAAGAATCT